CTGCATGCATATATACGTACCTCTTGTATGCCTGGTGCCCACAGATGTCAGAAGAGGACATTGAAACCCCTGAAACTACAGTTATAGATGGTTATGAAGCACCATGTAGGCACTGGTACTGATCTGAGGTCCTCTGTAAGAGCAATGAGTTCTCTTAGTTGCTAAGGCATCTCTCCAATCCCTTTCAAATTCCTTAAACTATCTCTAGATGCTTTATAATACCTAACACAATGTCAATGCTATAAGTGTCTGAGAAAAAAAGTATCAGTAAAATATGGGACAAGTTGAGTGGCCTGCTGTAGGCATCCATACAGTTCTGAAGGACAAGAAGTTAAAGAGATAATTAGAATATTTTTCCAAGGTAGGTGCTTTACTCTAAGGATTTCTTGGGACAGACAGAGTGACCCTCTAAGAGCCAGAGGAAAGGCTGAAATCTCAGCAGTATTTCTTGGAGAAAGACCATGTGACTTCTCCTACAATGGCTGTTTCACAACCATAGAGTTGCAAGCTGTGTAACCCCATGGTCTAAGGTTTGGAGGCCCGGAAATGCTCTAGGCCAGAAAGACAGAGGAGAAAAATGCTGTGTGAAGGCCCACAGGCTCCCCACTCCCCTGCAAAAATCATGTGCAGCCAAGCAGTCGGTCTTCCTCTTCACCATCTTCCTATTAAAAAAATAAAGTTTGGATGTCTCAGGGAAAGTCTAATGTGACATTTCCTGCCACAACTCTCCTAGAAGACACAGTATTTCACTTCGGTGCTTTGATAAGATACAAAACTTTCCCTAAATAACCAGTTGCCCTTACCCCACCAGAGAGCCTACACAGAAGGGTCCTTGCAATCATAGCTTCAGCGTCTATTGGTTTTATTTTCATGAGTTCCAGCCCCGACCTCCCCTCCATAGAAGTCATTAGCCCATGGACACAGGAAAGTTTCAGCCCCATTTGCTCACCAGTCAAATGGCTTCAGAGGCAGAGTCCCAAGGCCACAGTCAGCATCTGTTTTTCTGTCCACACAACTTCCAATCAAAGACAAGTTCTTGGGAGCTCATGAGCACTGAAATGTGCAGAGATGTCTTACTTCTTCTATTGTTCAGCCAGGGAAGGTTCTTTGAGACCCCAACAAAGAGCAACAATTTCCCAATCAGAGAGCTATTCCACATTGCCTGATGCCAGCCCAGGAAGCCAATAGAGGCCCAATGGAGCACATAATCACAGCTAGGTGAGCTTGAGAGCTTAGTCTAGGGTTCCCCTAGCCCTGGAGAAGCTATCTTCAATATGGACCTTGAGCACCCCAGGCTGCCAACAGCTGACAACTAGATACTGGGTTTCCTATCTGTCCAAGCAGCTTAGCTGGCCCCTCCCAAGCTCCCTGCGGGACTCTGCCTTGCACAGAGCAGATACACAGCTTTCTGTCTGAAGACTGCAAACTCATGGCCACCAAACCACCGCTTTAAAATGTTGACAGAGTTCCAGAATGCCTACCTGAATGGAAGCTACATCAGGGAGAAATCTGGGAGAAATAACAGACACTGAGAATGGGCCAGAACAGGGAAATTCGACGGACTTAGCCACAGGGGTTAGAATTTGAGACTTGAAGGGGCAAGTAACCCTTTGGCTCTTTTTCAAGAGATCAGGATTCCAAGGTATTCCTAGGTCCCTGCCCACACCTTCCGGTCCCAAAACCTGCTGTCTTCTTTCCTTCCCCAAGCTACTAAGTGAGAAAGAAGAGTTGGAATATCAAGTTTCAGCCTTTGTCCAGGGCTGGCTGTGACTTGGAGCCAGACTGGTAGAGAGGGCTATACTGGAAGCGTCTAGTTTCCACAACTGCACAGGTGTCATGGAAGACCAGCCCCTCCCTCAGGTGATAGCCAGGAGAGTTCTAACTTACATACGTCCTGGGCTCAAACCCTAGGATAAGCACAGATATATATTAACTCTGCATAATACAGCCTGGAGAGTTTGCAGGAACACACATTTAGCCATGTGAAGCGGGTTGGCAGGAGGAGGTAAGGGCTGTGTTAGCTAATGTCTGCCTTTTTCGGGAGAATGTATTCATGTGTGGCATGTACAATTGGAAATTTTGAAAATGTAACATGGATGGCAAATACTGATATTTACCACAAAAAAAAAAGATTAGTTCCCAGAAAAGTGTTCCTAAAATTCCAAGTCCAAAGCTGTGAACAAAATTATTCTCTGAGAACACTGGTGGAAAGCTTCCTGTCAGCCTGTTCCTTCTGCTGTACCTCAGTGATGCATCAGGCAGTGAAAACTAGGTTCTACACGCTCAGAAGCCACTAGGCAATAAGATGCTTCTGTGTTCCTCTAATCCTAGGCCTAGGTGGTATGGGTAATGTTTCATGGTGATTTAAGCAGCATGTCTTTGAAAAGTTTCCTCCCCTGTCATCAGATGTAAATGACTTCTTTCCCAATTCCATGCACACTGGACACGCTGCTTCTCCATGAAAAGAGTCACAGTTTTGAATAGAGGAGAATACAATCAGAGGACAAATGCTTCAGATGGATCACAGCCTAAGGGACAAGCAGAGGACCCTGCCATTAGCCAATTTGTCCCTGTGGCTCTTAAGGAAACCCACAAAGTGGGGCAGTGCTAACTTTCCAAGCTGCCACACAGATGATCGAGGGAAGCTGTGGCTGCAGTTCAGGTTTAACCTGGGAGATCTCCCAGATGGAGCAGGCTATTGGAAGGAACCCACCCCTAGCCTTGTCTGAAATATCTCAGCAGCCACACTGCAGGGTAGTCAGAGAGGCAGTCAGAGCACTTCCAAAGGCTCCACCTGAGCTCACCTAGCTCAGGAGGTGTTCCTCCAGGGGGACCACCAGCCTGTTTGTTTGCAACTCAGCTAAATTGCTCCCAGGAGGATGCCTTTGTTTCACAACATATTTTCAACCAGACCTTTACTGAAAACATGTCTTGTCTGCGCAGGCACAGGAGCACCCAGGCCCCAAAGGGCAGACTTCCCTGAACCTAGTTGCAGCCCTCTCTTCCTTGTAGTTGCCCTGTGGTGCTAAGTTGGAACAGTATAGAAGATGCATCTTTAGACCAACCATGTGAGGTATGACCTCTCTCATGGTGTCTAGTTTATAAGCCCATCTCTACCCTAGGTATGCCTTTCACAACACCAAAGCAGTGGGAGCATTGTGATGGTGGAAGGAAGTGCCACATGCTTGCTACCTTTGTGAGAACAAATGGGTGAGAACAAATGAGTTCTCCCTTTTTCTCTTAACCATCTGCATTGTGGACCCCTGCTGTAGGATAGTTGTATACTGCGTGAAAACACATGGCATAATAAAAAGCTGAACAACAAAGAGGAGGTATAGGCAGGACTTCAAGTAAGAGAAAGAAAAAGTGGGAGATGAATCTAGGTGTGCAGGAGATGCCAATGAGACATGAAGGGAGTCAGACATACAGAATGAAAGAAAGGTAAAAAGCCATGAGGCAAAATGTAAATGAATGTAAATGGATTAAATGAAGTTATAAGAGCTAGTGGAACAAGCCTAAGCTATAAGCCAAGCTTTCATAATAATAAATCTCCATGTCATTATTTGGGAGCTGTCTGGTGGGACAGAGAAAGAGCCGTTACAGACCCCATTCTTCCCTGGGGCTGCAGAGAGTGGAGGGAATGTCTTCCACAAAATCCCCCAACCCTACTCTGAGCTGAGTCTCTAGGGCCCATTTAGAGGGGCACATGGTGCTCTTGGCTCTCCCTTCCAGGGCAAAACACTTATGATTAGGCAGTGGCTTTTCTTTTTTTTCTGCAAAGGGTTTCCTCTGGCACCCTACTGCTCTGGGGCCAGAAAGAAAACTTACTAAGCATCTATTAAGTGGCCTTCTCTCACCTTCTAGCAGGGTGAGGCTCCAATGCTACATATCTAGGGTCCCACTGACCTGACAGCAGACCCTGTATTCTCATCTCAGTAGCACATCAGTCCCCAGAATATTGGAAATAGAGGAAGCCTTGCTTTGCATGGGGCCCCTAAGGATGAGAGAGAGGTGACAGAGTAATGGCCAAATAGGATTTGGGACTCAAGCCTCTTCACTCTTCGCCATTTCCCTCTTACCTCCTCTCTCCTACTCTCTCCTCTCTTTCCACTCCCCACCCCCATACACAGTTCTCTTCATATTTGATGACACACATTCTGCTACAGATGGAGATGTCTTGATATATTCGCTGTCTAGAGAAGTTCCACTTAGCCAGGAAGGTGACTTAAAAGTTCTAGGTTCCCAGAAAGATTTGTCTTGTTTACTTTTCTGTCATTGAGCCCCTCTCCCATTCATTCCATCAGAGCCCCCCTGAGCTAAAAAAAAAAAAAAATCTATGTAAAGCGCTCTCACACACAAATCTGAACTCAGATAGTGAAGATGCTAATTCCATGCCAACAGGCAATCAACCTTAAAGCTATCAAATGTGTCAACCACTTGGTCCCAGAAAAAGGAGTAGCTGTCACATAAGACCGCCTATTGGCTGAGCTAACTGAGATGTAACTTTTAAGGCTATCAGTACAAAGGACAGGGCTGTCACCTCTAGAGCTCTCTCAGGACCTCATCCTGAGATACTCAGTAGAAAGCAGGACACTCCCTAGCCTAGGACTAGGGAGAATTTAGCCTAGGCACAGTGTTTTCCCTGTCTTGCTAGAAAACCCCAGAGACCTATAGTTCCTCTCAGGAACTCATGGTTTCCCCTTGGGAAATGGAAAGGTTAATGGTCCTTTCCATGTCATTTTCTCTGATTGAGTCACTATACCACCTGACCTGTCCCACAAGCAATCATTGACATGACACCCATGGGAAACCTGGGCTAGAGACAGTGAGGGTGGGGAATGATAAGCAGTGGAAGACACCCAGGGACCTAGGGGAAATAGCAGCAACCCAGATCCAGGCACATTTTCTTGAAGCAGAAGGCTATCAGGGCCCTAGTGTACCTCCTAACCCTGCCCAAAGTAAGTTTGGCGAAGAACTGCGGGCACCAAGTTTTGCTGCGGTCATGAAGCATTTATTGAGCATATTCTTTAAGAAAAGGCTTGAGTGGTGTGGAAGCAAACAAGGGAGTAGTCCAAAACCAAACCCTGCCCACAGAGGATGGAGGAGAAGCAATGCTGGGTTACAGAGGACAGGCCACAGAGCCCTGCTCCATGGGCAGGATGCTTAGGTATTTATACCAGTGTTTCTTTCAGGGCTTTCGCCATTCTTTAATCCCTCTAGAGGAAAGATGTCTCAACCCAGGCACACCTGTGGTTCCCTAGCCTCATAGCTGCTAGAATCTCACAATAGAGTGAGCTCATCTCCAGGCAGGAGGTCTGAGCAGAGGAGTAAAATGACTCAACTACTACCAGGGGGGTGGGGGGGCTACTGGGAGATAGAATGGGGTGGGCAAGGGCATCCCTGAAAGCAAAGGGAACAGGAGAGGGAGGGATGGCTCTAACGGGGTTGTGGTGTCTGTGAAACTTCACTGGCGCATCCAAAGCCACACATTGGCTATGCAGACTGAGACCAGCAAGCTGAACAGCACAGTCTCCTTATGGCGCCAGGTGGAATCCTTTTCCTCAAGGTCACTCAGCCGCCCAGAGATCACTTGCATCTATGGAGGGACCAAACACAGGGGTTGTAAGTAGGAATCACTCTCATGAGAAAGGCACGGCATAAGGGTAGGGGAAAGCGTGACCTTAAGACAAAATGAGTCTTTGTTGCCCCTTCCACCTCCTTTTCTGTTCCCTGATTCCTGTCTAGCATCTCCAGCCTAAAGGAAAGTCAAAGGTAAACAACAACATGAGGTATCCAAGCCTTGAGGCCTGAGAAAAACAGAAAGGAGAGCCCAACCTCACTTCTTTTACTACTGGATACAATTATGACAAAGGCTATGAGAACTCAGGGGGTGGTTTTGTTCATAGCTGCCCAAACTACCCACTCCAAAGTACTAGGATGCTTCCTCCAAATGTACAACAGATGCTCACCTGCCTTCTCATGACTTCCATCTCCAGCCAATTGAGCTCTTCTAGGCCAATCTCTGCCACTATATCTGCCTCAAGACTGTTGGGAGGAAAGGTTACATGGGTCAGAGGTGCTGGTGGGCATAGAAAAGATACAGAGCAATAAGGTAAGCCTGAAGGCTTTTTGGATAAAGGCCACTGTCCTTCCATTGTGTGAGGGTTTGCCAGAGCATATGAAGATCCCAAATGGCCAGGAGGCAATGTTACCACAATACTTCAGGTACACACAACTGCTTCTTGACTGGGATGTTCACAGTCCTTATGGCCCTGTGCTCTGCTTGTTCCTCCCCCAGTAGCTAGGAACAAGATAATTGAGCTCTTACCGCTCATAAGGGAACCTCCCTGCTTGGAAGTTGCCAGGAAACTCCTGGAGATAGGCATCCCCCTGATTCTGATCTCTTGGCATACGGGGCATCTGCACCTGATGACCCTACATAAAGGAAGGAAACACCATTCCAAGTCAGTTTTTCAGCCCCACATTGTGCATGAATCAACAGTGTACCCCATAGGAGTCCCCCGATGTCATTTCATCTTCCTGTGCCCCCCACACTATGCCTATTGGCAGCTTCTAGCCTTGTGTGCTGTGGCAAGGAAAGTGCAGTAACAGGCTTTTCTGTCCTTTGGTAGATATTTTACAGGAAGGCACCCTTTGAAAAGCCAAGCTACCTACTGAAGAATAATGTAAACCTTCCATTTGATTTTAAGTAATTTAAAAGAAAACATCATTTCACACAATGGAGGTTTATAAAGAATTGTATAGTCATCCCTTGGTACACATGGAGACTGTTTCTAGAATAACCCCCTCCCTGTGGTTACCCAATTCTGCAGATTCTCAAATCCCTTGTGTAAAAGGTCATAATATTAGAATATAGCACAAGCATATCTTCTCATATCATTGTAATAATTTCTATATTACTTATACTGTCTAATAAAATGTAAATGCTATCTAAGTAGTTCTTATACCATGTTGTGTAGAGAACCATGGCAATGAAGCATCCTGCAGGTATTCTCTAGAGATGTAATCACACCACTCTCACCTCCTGATATTGTCCATCTGGGATTGATTGAGCTGATGGATGAGAGGCCTACGAATGTAGAGGATCTATTAAATGTAGTCTCAGGTCAACATGTTTGTTAGGCAGACTTCTAACACTCAAGTTCCAGCATCATACAGGACATCCCTAAACTTCCAATGATCTACCCTGCTCTCATTTGCTTTCTTGATATATGGAAGCTTCCTCCTCCCTACCATCAACTTCTAGGTAGACCTACCTACCGTGGGAAGACAGGAGCCCCAAAAGTAAGTACTCCCCACCATAAGCTAGCCACCATTTGTCAATACCCCTTTTTTGGGACGAGGACCAGTCACATTCCAAAATGACTGGCCTGAACCAGATCCACCAGGTTTTTGCTCTGCCCTTGGACGTCTTTGGATTCCCCCTAGTGACCAGGACTCACATTCCATCATTTCTAGAAAGAAGAACAAAGACTGCTATGAATACTGTTAAAAGTTTTTATCAGAACTTTCCGGGCACTGAAAACAGCAGAAATCACCCAATACCCATTCAGTTCTGATGCTCAGCCTATCTGTTTTTCTGTACAGCAGATAAGTATATATTTACTGAAGACCTGACTCTGGGCCTAGGATTCCTTAAAGTGAGCAATGATCAAGAGTTGAAATCCAAAACACCAACATCTCTATATAAGAGAGAACAGAAAATACAAATAAGAAAATAATCCATCCACATAAATTCACATAAGTAAATGGTTCATTAATGATTAAAAACAAAAACAAGCTAATATGTCAGAAGAAAAGCAGGAATCAACACTGAAATACCAAAAGCAGACAAATAGCCTTCCAGACTAAGTGAACAGCATACACAATGGCTGTGCGATGTAGAAGCACAAGTTGACCCACAAGATTAATTATAGCCAAGAGTCATTTTAGAGGATTCTCACCTGCCATCACTGGTTGTCCTTGGCTTTGCTCAATGTTTCCAATCCCTAGATCTTCATAAGTAGACATTTTATACTCTTCTCTGACATGGGAATGGACTTCTGCCATCACCACCAGGTATTCATTTGTAAGGATGCTCAGGGTGGATGGCACAGAGAAGACACTGGGAAGCTCGCCTCTTCCAGGGGTAGAAATGTGAGGGAGATATACTGGCACAAGAGGGTGGGGCCAGTTCTCCCTTTCTGTGCTCAGGCCTTGGATTGGCACCTTATGTTCCCACTGTATTTTTCTGGTGGGTCTCGTGGCCTTCTCTTCTGCAATGTAAGCAACTTGGAGAAGAGATAGTGCTCTAAGCCATGCTGTTTTTGAGAGATGCCCTGATTCATCTCCCCTTGATTTTGCTACTCACGTGTAGGAGGGTCTATCCTCCATCATGGTCTAGGAAGAGACAAGCGCTGGCATAGGGCCCAAGCATCCATAAGTGCCCAAAGCAGTGATAAATACCATGCTTATCATGGTTTCTACAAGCCCATCACTGGCCAATTATCTAGGGCACAACACTCTATCAGAGGAGATTCTCTGTACAGAACATCCTGCCTCCTCCAATGAAGAGTCTTCAAGCAAAATAGATGGCTTTCTCTGATCTGAATCCTGGGCAGGAAGCAAGGAGGGACATTCTGGGCTTGTGTACCCTGATGTATGTTTCAGCTCTGCCTTAGTTTTCCTATAGATTAGACCAACTGCATGTGTCAATTTAGTCAGGTCCTGATCACCAGAGAGTTCATCAGACATTCAGCTCTCAGTATGTCTGTGAATGTATGCTGTAGCTGTGAATGTTATCCCTAATGGACTTTAAACAAAATGGCTTCCTCTCAGTCAGGTGCTAGTACTCAACCAATGTGTTGAAAGAATCAAGTGCAAACATTAAGGTTTCCAGTAGGAATACAAAGGTCTTCTCCAGGATTTCAGCAATAAGTCTTGCTCAAATTCCCAGCCAGCCAACTTCCCTGCAGTTCCAGTATTCAATTGTTGAAATGAATTTCTATATACTTAGGAATCTGCATGTGCACCCTTTCTGCTATGTTCCTCTGTAGTGCCTTGGGCTGATGCTATTTTTAATGGTCAAACCCTGGCTCAAAGTCTTAGAGCCAGCGAAGGGAGAAAAGGTTATTTATCAAAGGAATCAATCACAACTGAGTCCAGATGGCAAGGGGAAGGGAGAAGTAAGATGAGGGGAAGGGAAGGGGGAAAAGGAGGAGGGAAGGGGAGAAAATAAGACTAATAGAGAGAATGTGGCTTGGAGACACCCCCAGCTCATTTATCCAGCTCATAAATCATTTAAGTGGGACTTTACTACATTCCTGGGGTCCTGAACAATTCTCACATTGGAAGGGCTACAGTGAAACTTGAGCTTTGTGGAGGAACACGTCTTAGCGGCAGAGAAAGTATCTGGTGCCTTCAGTAAAACCTAGGAGCTCCAGAAGCTGGGCCTTACATTTCTGTCCAAACACAGTTGCCAGATTGAGCAAATAAGAATGTATGAAATATATGAAGTTTAGATAAGAAAAAAATCATTATTCACATCAGTACTGTGTTCCATGCAACATTTGGAATCTATTCGCGGTAAAATTATTCATGTTAATACACCATTCAAATGTAAATGGATGTCCTGTATTTTACTTGAGAACCCTGTCTTGCCCTTCCTCTTCAAGACCTCAGTATTGGTTGAACAATGCTATTGTTTGTGTTCCAGTCTGTCTGAAAGACAATAGAACTAACAGATCTGGATCTGGATTGAGACAAGAGCTCAGAAGTCAGCAGCACTGACTTTTCATATAGACTTGAGCTAAGGTTCCTAGCAGACACCTCTGTGGTCAATTGGACTTGACCCACTAGGGCTTCCTGGGAACAGGAACAATGGTCCTTGTGCACATGGAGGCACTGCCCCCTGGTGGCACAGGGACCCAACACCTGCATCAAAGCAAGAGCGGGGAGACTTTGATTCCCCATTCCTGGGCCCCTGGGGCCATCCAGAAATACTCTACTTTCTTTGTATACCTTCTCTTGCATTGAGTGCCAAGGATGGCTGGGCAATAAGACACAATCCTCTGCATTAATTTCAATTTGTTCCATAGTACATGTCTAGCATCATATCGTTTATATAACCTTATCAATATCTTAATTTCCATCTGAAATGTCCCTAAAATTGGAATACAAATACTATGAAAGTCTTCGACTGTATATTCTGCTAATCTTGGAATTTCAAAGGTCTACAGCTCTGCCAGAAATTCCGTCATACTCAGGTCTGGAAGGATGGTCATGACCAAATGTGCAAAGTGGGTTGGAGAAAGCCGGTGCTTCAATGGTAGGCTCCCAGAGAAAAGCCAAGGCGTTCTCACATGCAAGTTAGACAGATGCTTCTGCAAATGGGAAAGAAGAGATCAGAACACTTCTGGCTTCGAGGTATTTCTGTATGTTTGCAGTGTACAAAGACCTCTCACAAATGAAATCATATATCTGAGGAGTGTGCTATTAGCCACAGTATGTTCTGGAGTCCCCACCTGCTTCAGAACAGAAGTACAAAATTTCTTTCCAATTCATCCCACTACTTTTCTCCTTCACCTGTGAACACCATGAGTGTCCAGCGCTGTTTGTGTCTACAAAACAGTGGGACTGGGTGTTTCTGTGCGTTCCTTTTTTGCATGAATGTGTCCATAGAACAAGGAGTGGCACTGTCAGGGTCAAAGGCATGCATGCTGATGCCTTTGAGTTATACAGGCCAACTACTATAAAAGTACATTCAAAGAGGATGCGCAAAGTGAGGTCCACCCAGGAAATAATTTTTTTTCTTCATATCAGTATCAACAAAAGATATTATGGGACTCTTTAAATGGACATCATTATGATGGATGAAAAGTGTTATCTATCTCATTGTTGCTTTAATTTACTTTGCTTTAATTATGAATAAAGCTGAACAATTTTTATATGTTAATTGATCTGCATTTCTTCCCTATGAACTATCTGCTGGAGGGCTTGAATCTTTATTAAAATATGAACTGTGTTATTAGCACAAAGGGACGGGGTGAAAACACTCTCTCCCTTCAAGCCAAGCTTCTTCACAGGAAATGTATCATCTTTTCCCTTAAGGTGTTGCTCCACTGGGACTAAACACATCCAGTTAAATTATTTGCGAGTTTCAGACTGAACCCTGAAAGGTATTTAGCTCGTACAAAAAAGAAGGTGTCTAACCACACAAACTGATGTCTCTCTCTCTCTCTCTCTCTCTCTCTCTCTCTCTCTCTGTCTTTCTCTCTCTCTCTGTCTTTCTCTCTCTCTCTCTCTGTGGGGGGGTATTCTCAGCTTGCATCATCACTTGCTTCCAATAATGCCTCTCAGCCATTAGCCTCTTCCAGCTGTTACAGGAGCTGAACACTCTACTCAGATTCCCTTTTCCACCTGCTTTGGCAGTGAGGTGACAGCAGCCCAGGTCTACAGTCAGCTACCAGGAAGTGACTCCTAGGCTTATTAAT